CCCCCCCCACCTCCCCGCCGCCGGACGCCGGGTCCCGCTCCGTCGCTCTGGGTGCCGAGCCCGGGCCACTGCTGCCAGCACCCCTGCCGGGCCCTTTGACCGGGCTCTCTGCGCGCCGGTCGAGCCTCCGCCTGCTCCGTCCCCCTTTCTCTCCCTCCCTCTCCCCTCGGCGGCCGGTGGCCACCCTGCGCCATGGACTCGGTTCGTTTGCATCCCCGCCTCCCTCGCCGGCCCTGGGCCTCGCTGACACCCGGCGCGTGACAGCCCCCGTCCTCCATGCCGGGGATGGATGCGGCCTTCGGCCAGCCCCCCTTGAGCATCCTGGCCGATCCCTGGGCCCTGCCGCTGGCTGCCGGCCCGGGCTTGGTGGATGTCTGGTCGCAGGACCCCCAGGCCGGGGGTGCCAGCACGCCCCCCAGGCCGGATCCCACGCTGGCCGGCATCTTTGACAGCCCGTCCGGGCTGGTGCCCGGCGCATCGCCCTGGGCCACGGACCACCCCGGGCCTGTGGGGCCGCTGGGGCCGGCCCTCGACGCGATCGATCCCTGGGCCATTGCTCCGGCCGGCGTGCCGGACCCGGGGCCGGCCCTGGGCATTGGCCTGGCCGGTGGCCATGCCCTGCCCGATGTGGATGCCCTGATCCAGCAGCACATGGCGCGGCAGCAGGCCGCGGAGCCCGAGGCCGCGGAGCCCGGGGCCCCGGTCGCCTCGTGGCCTGCCATGCACATGCATGGCGTGCCTGCTGCCGATGACTCTGGCCTGCTGACCGAGGCGGCGCCGGACGCATCGTCCGAGGGCATGCCCGGCCAGCTGGCTCGGGCGCATGGGCCCCAGCCGGTCGAGGCGACGGCCACCTCCTGGCCAGGGGCCCCGGATGGCCCCTCGGCCGGGGAAACCCACCGCGAATCCCCTGTCGACCCGCACGCCGGGCCGGCTGACCACCATCTGGCCATGCCCGGCCGCCAGGCGGCCCCGGCCCCCGGCCACTCGCGTGACAATGGGCCTGCCCATGGGGACGCCGCGGCTGCCGCCCCTGCCACCCTGGCCATTGGCGCGCGGCAGGACGGCCCCTCGGGCAGCCGCCGCCCGGCCGGAGCCCCGGCCCGGGGTATGTCCCCCTCCAAGGCAGACGACCCCCAGGGGCCGCCGGCGGCCGGGCTCGGGATTGACACCGCCCCCGGGCTGCTGGCCCGGCATCCGGCCGAGGCCCCCCCGACGCCGCCACTGGAGGCGCCCCCGCCGCCCGGGCCGCCGACGCCCCTGCCAAGCCGCGTGTCGGAGCCGGTGGCCTCTCCGCTGGTGGCGGCGGCGCTGATCCACAACGACGCGCGCCGGCTGGAGGACCAGCTCCAGAGCAACATCGCCAGCCTGGCCCGCGTCCTGGCCGAGGAGGAGGAGGTGGCGCCCGACGACACCGGGGACTTCGTGCCCCAGATTGAGCCCCTCCACCCCGGGACAGATCCCTTTGCCCTGGGGTTCGCCAGCTCGGCGCTGGCCCTCCAGCTGCAGGGGTCGCAGCAGCACCCGCACTCGCAGTCGCACCACCACTCGTCCGGCGGGAGCCGGCGCGCGTCGACCCATGGAGGGGCGGCCGGGGCAGCCGGCACCGGGGCCAACCTGCGGGACAGCCTGCATGCGCCCTGTGCCGCGGGCGGGCGTCTGGCCGCGGCCCCGGTGGAGGCGCCGTGCGACTTGGATCGCCTGGCCGAGGTGACGGCCCATTGGCCGCTGAATCGGCCACCCAAGCCGGGGTCCTCCTGGCGGGCCTTCCTCCAGCAGTGGACCCGGCCGGAGGCCGGGGCCGATGCGTCCCTCGCCGCCGGCGGGCCGGCCACATCGCGGGTGGTTCCGCTGCGTGTGCGCGGCGACACCGGGTCTCGGCCGGCCGAGACTGCGGCCGAGCTGCGTGCCCTGCGCGAGGACCCGGTTCTCCGGGCCCTGACCCAGCGGCTGGTCAGCATCGATTTCCCGGACGGCGCGGCCTTCGGGGCCACGGCCCTCATGAAAGCCGCGGCCCTGGGCTACTCGGATGTCTTGGCCTTCCTGATTGCCACCGGGGCCGACGCCAACCGCCAGGACCAGCGTGGCTGGACCCCGCTCATTTACTCCGTCTGGTCGGGCAGTGTGCGTCCCCTCGTGCCTTTTGTTGGTTGCTGCTGTTGCTTCGCCTCTTCCCACTGTGGTCCTCTCGTCGAGCAGCCGGCGGCCCTCCGGGGGCCGGTGCCTTCGCGCCGTCCACACCCCTCCCGCCCCCCTCCCCCTC